AGGAAGAACTGTCTACTGCTTGTCGTGCGGCCGCGGATGCCTTAGAGATTTTAAGTAATTTGAGACCTGGTTTTACGAGAAATGTTATACCTCGGATGAATTCAACGGCCGTCTCTGTCAGTCAGCCAAACAACGGAGATCATCAGGTGAACAACGAGGAACTTCAGTCGAACGAACGTGCCATTCAATCCTCGACGTCACCAACATCGAGCAGTTCTATTCAAGCTCGGCTTGCCACTCTCTTTCCGACTGTTGGCTCGAACCGAGCTAGTAGGAAAAGCACTAGTAGAAGACCAGCAAGGTCAAAGCAGACCATTAAGTCGACCAAAGGCCGCCCATCCAAGACACTTGTTTACAAGGATCTAGTCCTTATTCGCAGTCCCAAGATCAACAAAGTGCCTACACATACAACCCGACTTCAGTTAGAAGAGAGAGAACTTGTCTACCACGAGTTTCCCTTTGACAAGAGCTGGGATGCAAATTCCCTCAAAGCTGCTATATTGAATCGATTTCCAAAGCTTTTGCTATTTGAATATGTCAAGGTGGGTAACTTTCTACTTGTATTATAAGCTTAAACATTGTTCTACGTTTAATGCAATAATAATATCATTGCTGTTCAGTTTGTGCATTTGTTGTAGTTGCACTATTTATGAATACGTATTTATACTATTTTGCCAACAAATTGCCCACACAAGAGGATACCTGCAGTGACTCGAGTAATAGACTTGCAGTTTTGAGCAGAAGTTGTTGGGTTATCCAGACTTGCTCTGGTACTGCCCCGCTCCCACCCCCTCAATAAATTGTACAATTTCTCACAACATTAGCATAAGCTTAACTTAATTACTCTTTCATTAAATTTACCCTTCACTTTTTCAAGAAGCCTGCAAGTAATATGTGGTTTTCTTAACCTAGCCATGCTATGGAAAGCTAATAACTCCTAAGTTGGCAGATGGCATAACTCTAGATGCAGAAAGAGTGACCAGGATGGCTGGTCAAGGAGCTGTTTATGTTAGATCATTGGTGCCTTTGGAATCTGAAGATGAGGGTGAAACTGAAGAGGAGCTAGAGAATTCAGTATTAGATAGCACTCCAAGGGGAACTTTTTCTTGTGAATTTTTGCATTGAACAAGATAGAACCTGTATAGATTTCTTTCAGTTTTTTTTTTTCCTCACTGTAAGGATATTTATGTGGTAGCTACCCAATGCAGTGGAATAACCTTGTTTATGATAGATTGGCATCCAAGCTTGTGCTACGAGGCATGAAAATGGCTTTTTGTTGGAAATATTATCCAGTTTGTCTCCAAACAGATTTGTGTATTTATTTATTTATTTAATTATTTATTTTATTGTTTATTTATTTACTTGTTTGCTCAGATATTTATTCAATCCTAGGCAGGACATAAATTGATTTGGTAATTATTGCAACTCCATGTGACTGTGGATATCTGTGTAAAGATGAACACATAGTATGTTACATCATTGCCACTTAGTTCACTTTGTTTTTTATGGTTTGTGACAAGTTGATATTTCTTTTAGTGTTAGTGGAGCACTAAGAATCCCTGCGTTGCTTTCATCTGGGGAGAGCGATGGGAGGCCAGATCCAGCTGTGGTGCCCCACTCCTGCCAGGAGGCTGCACAACCTTATTGTGTACCATTTCCAACTGAAGCAGAAACATCACATCAAAATACAGAGTTAAATGATGTAGGGACAGGCAGTAACTCTGATATTGCTTTGGCATCATCTGAGCTACCTGTACTAGTAACTGCACCTGTTTTAGGCAGTAACTCTGAAATTGTTCATGCATCATCTGAGCATGTACCTGTATCAGTACCGGTACCTCACCTGCTACCAAAACGTATCATCCAAGTGCACAGGTTAAATATTAAGAAGGATTTGATTGATTTATTCTGAGATCCATTAATTATGAGTCAAGACATAGAGATAATAGTAATTGATGCTAGGGGAGTTGAAGAAATGGGCAGAGGTGTTGGGTTGCTTAGAGATGTTTTCTCTCTTTTTTGGAAAGAAACACATGATTCCCTTTTTGTTGGAGAAAATGAGCGTGTACCATTTGTAAGACATGACTATCAAAGGGATGAATGGGTTGCTGTTGGCAGAATTTTGGTGAAAGGATATTTAACCTGTCAATACCTACCAGTCCTTCTGTCTCAAACATTCCTTGCCTGTCTTTTTTGGGGGAAATCTGCTGTAACTAGTGCTATGCTGACTCAATCCTTTAGAAATTACATCTCAGTAGATGAAAAATGTTTGATTGGCAAGTGCCTTGCAGGTGATATGAAGTGGGACAATGAAGATGAAATGTCCCAGCTTTTAGAAGTACTTTGTAACTATGACTGTCGAATTATGGTAAATTCTGAGAATGTCATTCAAGTTATTGAAGAAATAGCCCACAAGGAGCTGCTGCAGAAGCCACAGTATATTGCAGACTGCTGGAAGGATATAGTTTGTACTCTTCTTCCTAGTTTTCCTGATTTTGCAGCACTTTCCAAAAGGTATGAATTGTTAATACCATCCACGAGCAAAATCCTTAGTTGCCTAGAGGCAAACCCTCAGAGTGATGGGGAAAGGGATAGCCTTAAGTTTCTCAAACGGTATATTAAGGGACTTGACACACCTCAGAAATTATCAAAGTTTGTAAGGTTTATCAGTGGGTCTGAGTTCATGCTTTTTGACGCAATCCAAGTAAATTTCACCAACTTATCTGGTTTGGGTCGCCGACCAATTGCCCACACTTGTAATACTGTGTTGGAGCTATCCTCGACTTATCAATCATTTCCTGAACTTAGAGAGGAGTTCAGTGCAATACTTGCATCAGATTATTGGGAAATGGATACTGTGTAATATGCCTTGTGACGAAAAGAAGGCCATTATGGTGGCAAGCTGATTTAGAACAGACTGTGTCTTCTGCCTTTGATGGGTATTTACAGTTTTAGAACATGTAACAACAATGCACAAATTATTTGTGCACCGTTTCCTGTGAATCATACTAGTTAGCTAATTGCTTATTGTAGTATCAAGCTTGTTATCTGTTGAAAGTTGACATTTTCAAACGAATGCAGCTTTACATTGTTGAGATTTTAATGTACTTTTTTTCTGACTGTTGTAAGGGTTAAGTTGTATTCATTGTGTTCCATTCTGATCGATAACATTTGAAGGCAAAATAATAAATTTCACATTGTTTACGTTTTCAATCTGTGATTGAAGTTAGTGGTCTACTATTTACCGTAAATGGGAAGCAAGAGGAAAGAACTCTCTTGACAACTTTCTGTCAGAATTTTCTCTTGTTCAATGTCTCGCTCTTAGAGTGAATTATGCTACCCAGCCAGTCAATCCTCATAAAAGAAAACATGACTTTACCCAATTAATATTCCGCGTTTTACAATTAGTGGTGCCAGTTTGATAGGCGTTAATTGATCTTAATTCTCTAGGTGGCCCCGTTTTCATTCTCTAAACAACGGATTTCAGGTTAGGTGGATGCTGGGAACACCTGTTTTGAAACATAGTTACCACCAAAACGGCCTTATATAAGCAAAGTTTCTTATATGTTGAAATGATTCCTAAGGATGTCTATGCATCTCAAATATTGAGTTCTACCATGTTCACCATCGTCATTCAAAGGGTCACAGGAGACTTCCAAATATGCAGTTGTTGTGGTGTAAGCTGAACATTAACTGCTGGTATTGAGACCTGGTAGTCGTCGTCGTCTAACGGGAAAGGTCCATCTGGATCAAACCCATACAATGGAATTTCATTTGGATGTAGAATACTCTCAACTCCAGAGTATCCAGAGTGCATGTTCTCCAAAATCCCAGAGGCGAAAATTTGTAGGGGAGATAATTGATGTTCACCGGAGACAGGGTGATTGTTCCATTGACCAGTAAAGTGTTGCAATGCCCTATTTATCCTTGGTACGTAGACAAAGTGCAATGATAATAAATGTACTTCGTTTAACGGGTCAAGAAGACCCATGTCTTCCATTCCACTAAAGATATTGGCAAAGTGACAAAGGACACCAGCGTAAACATCTCTATGAGCGCGCTCAACACGGCAGTTGTGGACAGAGCTTCCTGTTATGATACTTCCTCTGTCCAGCCCTCTATTTTCCAACATGTACTGTGCCACTCCAATATTTTCCAGTCCATGATCGCTTCTTACTCTTGAGGGCAAGCCAAACTCTTGTATTCCCTTGATGAAGAGCTCCAACACTGTATCTGCTCGGTTGTTATCAGTTAGGGTGGCATACACAATAACCCTTGAATACCCATCAACACAGCAATGCACAACAAACCTGTACCTGGTAAGTTTGTGGTTCCCGTCTATGTGCCACAAAGCGTTTGGCGTTGGTACAGAGTACTTCCGACGGTAAACCGGCGTGCTCCAGCGAAGTGCTGTCCCAAGCGGGTCTTGTGTACGAAGACAGTTGCGAACCCTCCATCGCTGGATTCGAAATCCCCTTGCTCGGAGAGCTCCAAGCAATCTTCGCTGTCCAATGTTTGGAGTAATGCTTCTAATTTCTTTAACACCGTCTTCAAGCTGAGAATCTGAAAAGAAGTTATGCTTTAATTACAAAGTTTGAAAGTTTTATCGCCGGTACATCACTGAGTGAGACGGGATTTTGGGAAACCTACAATACTTTGCCCAAGGGTATGGCTTCTAAGATTTATTTTACCCGAGACTACATCTTATTTTCGATGTTGAACTCCCTTTCTTCGCAGACAGCCTTATCCAAACACACTGACTAGTACAGATAACCTCAGTCTGTAAATTACCACGCACCTGACAATGCAGTCCAGTTTTCGCTGTCATCATTCAAATTTAATTCCCGTCTTCTTCGACGCAAGGTACTTTCACTGATACCTAACAAACTAGCGATTTTTACCCAGGAGAAATGCAGTTCGCGTAAGAATTCGATCTGCTCTCTTTCGATGACGATGACTGGTCTTCCTGCACCTGTAAGTTTAGTGGTAGGACAAGCGAATGAATTTGACACCGTGGCTTCAACGGAATTTCTTTCCTCATACTTTGTCATTACACGAAAAACCAAGCGCACTTTTGTCAAAACAGCTTCTACTATTGTCTTGAAATCTTGAAGGACAGAGTCCTCACTTTGCCATACACTGTTTAATAGCAACTGTAAAGTTAAAATTGCATCTTCCAGGCGCAAGTTAGCTTGTTCAAAGTAATCAACGGAGACATCTTGTGTGTTCAAATTCTGAATACCAATCAACAGGGTACGAAGAGACTCTACGAAGTTGTAAAGGCCTCTCTCGTTGCCATCTCTTAAAGTTCCATCCGCCATTTTGCTTTTGAAACTGGCAAAAAAAGTGCATCCCGGTCATGTGATCACGTGTGTTGCATACTAATTAGAAAGAAAATAAAAATCCCCAAAGGTTGTTTGAATATTGACTGGAAAGGCGCGCCATAAGTTCGTATAGTGTGATCTTTCGGGTGAGGACTGACAAACACTATTCACTTGACTCTGAAGATGACTTCCGCTCAGGTTGTCGAAACGTCAGTCACCAACAACTTTTCTTTTCAGAACTACCCTCACCCGCACGATCACTATACGAACTAATGTTCACACTTATTTTATCAGAAACATGACGTCATAACGACATAGACATAGCGACATAATTTTCCTTATGTCGTCATGCTGTTATGTTGCTATTGTGTCATTATGTCAGGACGTTCACACTGCCAACATAGAAACATAACGTCCTTCTTATGTCGTTATGCTTATGTCACCGTTGTATATACATATGTCACTTATTGTCATGCACTGAATGCTACGTTCAACGATCTCGAGTTTGCGTGACCATGTGACAAGCATGATTTATTACCTTCTCGGATGACAAAGGCTGTCTGTCTGCTGGACATGACGGTGAAGGGCGCCTGAACACAACAAAAAAGTGAATGTATATATAATTAAAAGAAATATTCACGCGTTAAATTCATCAAGGTGCGCGAGGCAGTGTTGTTTAATTATTGTTCCTTGATGTAATTGACGTGCAGGTGATAAACAACAAAATAATAAATTAGGAATTTTCCAAACAAGCATATACTAAATCCCGAAACAATGAAAAGAAACCCGTCGACATGACCAAATCGAACCGAAACCGCGCTGAAACAATCGAAATAAACGAAATAACAACGAAACGAAACCACTATAGATACTGGCCCGCGAAGTTGTAGAAACGAAACCAAGGAATAAACCGAGGACGAGTTATCCCGAAAGGTAATCACAAAAATATGCCAAACCTGTCATTATATTGTTGCGTTCGACAAAGAACGCGTTCATAATCCAGTCGAAATCGACATTTTAGGACTATGTAGTCATCGACACCAATTTGGCCCCCTCGAAAAATTATTCAGGGGCGAATGACGTCAATTCCATCGATCATGTGCGTTGTTTCTAGCGGGAGTCGAGTTTCACGTTTTCCCTCGTGTGTTAGTGCGCTTACTTGTTTATTTTATGCGTTAACGAACACGGCTTTGAATCCCTTGGCTTTGGGATGTTAACCTTGGCAACAGCTATATCTTGATTGGATTTGTTGATTAGGTCCAGTCACGACAGATAGCTCAGTCTTCATCCGGTCGAATATTGTTTGGAATCGGTGGAAAAGGACTCTGAAGGCAAGATCCATAAGAGTGAGCCTAAACCAAGGAACGGCAAAATTATGTAAATACTGTCTACTATATTCATCAGGGGAAATACTCGAACAGTCGCACGGAGTTTGTTTACGCTGACGATAAACGAGCACACAATTGCAAATGTTTGCTTATATTTGTGTTTCCAGCTTAGACTAATGTACGTAAAAAATATACTTTTACAAATTAGCTTTAACGCTTAGACACCACCAGTTATGTGAGAATATTTAGCATGAAATTTGAAGGCTATAAATGTAAGTAACTTGCGAGTCTGCGGAAACTGGCGCTGTCACGCAACGTGTCAACAAATCGGAGATCTCTTCACCAGCATGGACTATGACACTATGCATATCTGTCTGTAAAATCTCGGTAGCTGATGAAAAATGTTGATCTTAGCAATAGACGAGTTTGAAAGTCAGCTAGTGAAATAATTTAAGGTTTATATATTGAAGTAACGTCGTCGAACGCACTATCACTATCTTTGATTACTACTAGTTGATAGCTTAAACCGTAAATAAGCTTAGACTGCTATTCAGGCGAACCTGTTACCAAACCAAAGTGAAAGCAGCTACGGACCCGAGCGGACTTCGCTTGAAAAGCCCTCACGTCAGCCTGAATACCGTTCCCTGGTTAACCTGTTTACCGTTAGGTCAATATTATTACAGTTCTCGCTATATATCTCAATTCGTTTCTACGCTCGTTTCGGCCATAGTTGATCATGCCGTTCAAGCAACACCTTCTGTTGCTCATAAAAATTCAAACACGAAACTAGCTCTTGTGTATTGGACTCAGTGTAAAATAAATCAACCGTCACCTTAACCCAAATATTTGTTAAGTTTTCAAACTGATACATTGAGAGTTCCGAGGTTTCAATGATAAACTAATCGTGTACCTCCAAAGGGATTCCATACAGATGGTACAAAGTCTGTGTCCACATCCCACAATCTGCACAGGATCTTTCAATGTTAAATGACACACAAGACATTCCCAGCCCTCGGGAACTCTACTTATAAACTCGTAATCATACCCGCCTAGCTCGGGTACATTATTTCCACCCGTCGCCATATATCACTTTCACGTTCTGTGCTAAACAGGAAGTAGTCTTCGCTCTTGCGTGAACAAACATTCCTTATCGCCACGTAATTTCGAATTGTTTGTACGTAAAAGCCTGGTAACTATTTTAGAGCATCAAGACGAGGCTCAAGGGAAAAAAATCATCAAGATGGCGAACAATGAAGGTTCTTCGTTCGCAAGTATGAAAGTCCCAGAGCTACAGAACTTCCTAAATGCAAGAGACATTCAAATAGCCGTCGATGGAAAGAAAAGGAAAAGGGCTGAACTGATGGAGGTATGGCAAGCCATTTGTAGCAAAATTTAATCCTTGCAATATATGTTTAATCCTTAAAATAATGGTTTTATTTAAAGATGTAAAAAGGCATTCAATCCGATGGCAAATAAAATTTTTGGTCTAATTCAACGTTTTAATTTTCATGATTCAATCCAATACCTGGAATATTGATTCAATCCAATTCCTCGAGTATTGATGCAATCCAATACCTAGAATATTGATTCAATCCAATACCTGGAATATTGATTCAATCCAATACCTGGAATATTGAT